AACTTCTATCTTCCTCCTGAAGGAACTCTATACTTGTGGTATGGATCCAGGGTCAGCTGATTCATCAATTACGTCTAGTGCTAATTCTCCTGCTGTGCAATCTTCTGTTACTACAGCATCTGGACCCAATACTTCTCCGCGAGATGCAACGTCAAAGCTATCTGCTTCTGGGATATCATTGTGGGCCAAAAATTTGAAAATTCCCCAGCCATTCACTGCGAACCAAGATGATTCATCTAGTGGAATTGCTGGAAAGTCGAGCTTTGCACGATTTACTGGTGGATTAGGGCTTCGTTTATCCCCAAAATCTCCTCAGGCAGATGATAGTTTTGATGGACCTTCAACTACAGCACAAACTGGTTTCATTGGAACAATTACAAAAGGCTTAGTTGATTCATCTAAGAATGCTGTGAAGGCTGTACAGGTTAAGGCTAGACATGTTGTCTCCCAGAATAAACGAAGATACCAGGTGGGATTCAGTGTCTGATTTTTGTTATTTGTGTTCTTTTCTTAGTTCTTTGTAATAATTACTTGCACATGGCTGGCTCTGGTTTGTTTTTTATGAATGTTTTTTTTCCTAATAATAAGAGGCTCATGACCATGTCTGGTTTGGTTCTGTTCTTTATTAACTCTTTAATAATAACTGCCTCGCAACTGGTTTCCTTTGTGGTTTCAATCTTGTTTCTGCTTGGAACTGAATGTGTATCCCAAAGAAATATTTTCATCTTTATGCTTGTACTATGTTCTTTGGCCTTCTTGAGCTTTGTCATTTCTGCACTAAAAATAAGTAAATTCTTCTATTTTTTTAAATAATTAAATTTCAAACTTACTACTATTACTATCACTGCTATTTTATTGTGCATGTTCTGTCTTAGGAGATCTCATTTTCTTCTAACTTAGTCTGCTTCTTATCTTATCTTTACAGATATCCCCTTATTCCTGCTTCTAGATTGTGCATATTATCTATGATTTTATCCTTTGTTGTCTACTGGTTCTTCAGGAAGGAGGATTTGATCTGGATATGACATATATCACGGAGAATATAATTGCTATGGGCTTTCCTGCTGGTGACATGAGCTCTGGGTTCTTTGGATATGTTGAGGTTAGTAAGTTTATGCTCTTAAGTTGATATGCCTTGTCTGATTAAATTTGTTTTGTCAATAAGCTAAACTGTCTAGAAATCCTATGCAGGGTTTCTACCGAAACCACATGGAAGAAGTCATCAAGTTCTTTGAAACTCATCACAAGGTAGTAATGAATTTTTTTTTAATGTAAATGTACACATACTTACACAAACATGCATGTATATTACTTCTCACCTAATGATTTAGACATAGAGTGTGCTTTCAATTTACAGTGGTTTCTCTTGTTATGTCTCATTAACATGAAAATAGAAAGCCCACATGTTTGAAAGCATATCAGTTTCATTAAAGTCCTTTCATATTCTGATTTGTCAGATGTTAACCAAGTTTAGTGTGCTTGGTTTCCAGAATGGTCTCCTGTTTGTTTGAATTAACTCAAATCAGCCATATCTTAGTCAGATAGCTGCTTGCTTGTTCTTGTTCTTGTCCCTTCCGATTATGCTGCGTTCATCCTCTACCTTAATGCTCTAAATGATGCTGAAACAAAGATTGTCCATAGAGAAATTACAATTTTATCTTTTGCACATTGCTGCATAAATTGGAAAGATTGAGATGATTTTTGCAATGTTTATTTTATTTACGACAATGGTTACACTTAAGAACGAGGGCAAATAGCTTGAATGGACAAGACTCATGCTTTCCAAGGCACGTGCATCTAGAACCAACCTCGCGTAAAGTCCAAAGTTAATCTCTCTAAGTCTTTTCTGCCTGACATTTGGTTCTTAGATCAGGCCA